CGCTTCATTCAAGCCTCACCTCACGCCTCACTTCTTGCTTTTGCAATGAGTGCTGGGGGGGGGGGAGGCACCGGCGGGGGGGGGGAACCACGCAGCCACGCGTCACCAAGAGCTCCTTGGTGCAAAGCCCAGGGGGGAAACCTGGAGCGCAGCCCCCGGGGCAGAGGGAGCAGCAACGCCTCCCTGCCTCACACAGCACCAAGCGGCCGACGCCGGGCCGCTCCGCTCTCCTCCTCCTGCTGGCAGCCTTGGTTCCCCACGCGCAGCAGTGGGGCAGAGGGGGGCAGAGCCCAGCGCTGCCGTCACCTCCAGGAGCTCCACGCCTTACCTGCCGCTACCCGAGGCCGAAGGACCCACGGACTCCTTTCACCCCCCCCAATCCGCCCCTGGCTGCAGCCAGCACTGCTGGAGCGCTCACCCACATCTCCGTTCCCACCCCAACCCCTCCATCCAGCTCCTCCTCTGCTCCCTTCTCGCCCCCATCAGCCTCCTGCGGGGCTCAGATGCGCTCACAACGCACACAGCACCCGGCGCGCTGACACCTAACGCCTAAGCAGCAAAACCACCACAGGTCGGCTTCACAGCTTCCCCAGGGCCGTTATTTCCCCCTCGCACCTTCCTGCAGCTGTCTAACTTACCATCAGAAACAAGCAGTGAGGCTCCTGGGCAGCCCCCCCACCCCCCTCCCGCGCCCCCACACCAGCAGGAGGAGGGGCGCCCAGCTGAGCAGCCAGCAGAGGGGCAGCCCCTCACATCCGCCCCTCAGATACGAATCGACGGTAAATAATAACCTGTTGGTAGCCATGAAGTAGGACGTCTGCGCCAAGTCCTTGCTGGCTGCAAGAGAGAAGGGGAGAAAAAGCCGGGTGTCACTGCAGGCTGCCGGCAAACACGGCTTGATTGAGGAGCGATGCTTTGCTGCCCCACACGTTAACAGGACGGGCAGCACGGCCGGCTCCCTCCATGCTGCGCCTCCACAGAGCTTCTAGAAGCTGCTGCATGAAAAGCTTTGTGCGGCTCGGCAGCCGCCTCTGCTTGTGGTCACTGCAATCCAGGGGAGCCGGGCACAGAGGGGCACCTGGGGGCAGCAGGGCGACCAGGGGGGCCAAGGGCTGCCTGGAGGCACCACGCAGAGCACAGCCAGCAGGGCAGGGAGCTGCTCCCCCTCTGCTGGGCACTGGGAACAGCTGGGGGAGCCCCACAGGGGGGCAGGGGGCTGAGAGCCCCGGGGGGAGAGAAGGGGGGGGGGGGGGCTGAGCAGAGCTGCCTGATGTCTGATGGAGGTGGGGCAGGGCTGCGTTTGGTGCCGCTCAGCGCCGCCATGGGGAGCCCCCAAAAACCCCCGCAGCGCCGCCCAGGAGCAGCTGAGGGCTTCTCACCTCTGACGAGCTGCGTGCATTTCACCACGTGGGTGTGCGGGTGGTCGATGGTGATCTCAAAGCCTGCAAGAGGACGGAGACGCGGCCGTCAGACAGCGGGCAGAGCCCCCGGCCCACAAACCTCCCCCCTTCCCCCCTCCAGCCTCAGCCCTGCTTGGAGCAGGCAGAACAGAGCAGCCTGAAGGTCTTTGCTGCTGCTGCTGCTGTGGGGCCTCCGAGCAGCTCAACGCCTTCAGCGCTTGAAAGACCTCACTGGAAACGAAACGGCCATGAAGTGCTTTAAAAATAGCAGGACAAAGCCTCTACAGCAGCTGGGAGGAAGGAGAAGACAATGGCATCTGCTCAGAGGAATTTCTGTCACCCCAAAAGCCAAAGGGAAGCAGGCTTTTCCCTTTGAAGCGGCCTGCAGCACTCGCGGCACCGCGCCTCCGTCCTCCCTTTGGTTTCCTATTCAATTTGTGCTTTATGGTTTAAAGGCCAAAAAACACCCAAGAAAAAAAAAATGCCTCTGCTCCATGTGCGCAACAGACCCCAGTCCTTTCCGGGCAGAACATTCCAGAATATTCTGGCTGTACCACGAGGTTAAGGAAGGTGGCTTTGGAATGGAGCAGAGCTCAGACTGGGGCTCCATGCGCGACCCAAAGCGCAGCAGCGGGGGACGATGGCCCAAATTAAATGAGGTCAGACAGAACCAAGGCCGCACAGCCGCCATTTGTGGCCGCAGGGCTGGAGCAGCACTGAGCTCAGGGAGCAGCGAGCAGCGACAGCGATGGGATCACAGCACAGAGCGCTGAGCTGGGCGGGAAAGAGGCTGAGAACAGAGCTGGGCTGCTGCTCTCCTGCCCCCCAGCTGGGGGTCGCGGCTCCTGGCTCTGGGATTCGCGCGGCACCCGGCTGAAGAACTCACCCAGGGTCTGCAGGATGATGCTCTCCAGGATGACCAGGTCCTGCGCCTGCTGCAGGTAGGCCTGGGGTTGAGAGGACAGGCGAGTTACTCCCAGCACAGCAGCGCACCTAAAGCTGCCCGTTCCTAAGGGCCCTTCCCAGCAGCCCTTCCCAGGGAGGCAGAAAGGACAGAGGGGAATCGCTGTGCTGCTCCGCACAGCACCGGGCCGCACTGCCAGCCCCCCCCCTCCCAGCAGGAGGAGGAAGATTTGCCCTCCAGCTTTTGGAGGCTAAAGGCCCCCTTCCCCTGGGTTGGCTGCTCGCTTCCAGCTGCTTTGTGGGGCAGCACTTCGAACCAAACCAGCGTTAAACACATTGGGGCAGAGCAGACCCAAACCGCACGGCACCAAGGCTCTGCCCCACATCCCAGCAGCGCGGGTCGGGGTAAAGAAAGCATCCAGCTTTTAACACGGCGCCACGGAGGGCACCTGAGCCCCGCTGGCACAGCGGAGCAGAACAGAAGAATCCCTGCCACAAATCGGGTAAGAAAGTCCTGCTGCCGCACAGAACCCCAAAAGCTCCCTGCAGTGGAGCGGTGGGTGAACAGGGAGCCGCCTCTGAGCGCCCCAGGACGCGGAGCATCGCTCTGAGGATCCCAACGTCACCGTGGCTGCGATGCAGGGCCCCACGCGCTGCTCACCTCGCTCCTGGTGTCGGGGGGCGGCTCCTGGGGGTGCAGGCAGGCGTGGGCCACCTTGATCACATAATCCAGCTTCCTGGGCTGCTCCTCTACTTTGGCCGCCAGGAACAACGCCGCAGGAGCCACTGACTTCACAGGACAAAACGAAGAGAAAAACCATTCGTGAGATGGTAG